CTATCTTAGGGTAACATCTATTCTCACATTAATGGCTCCATCTTAGGGTACCATCTATTCTCACATTAATGGCTCCATCTTAGGTAGCATCCATTCTCACATTAATGGCTCCATCTTAGGTAGCATCCATTCTCACATTAATGGCTCCATCTTAGGTAGCATCCATTCTCACATTCATGGTTCTATCTTAGGGTAACATCTATTCTCACATTCATGGCTCCATCTTAGGTAGCCATGAATGGCTACCTTAGGAGTAAACGCCGAAGGTACATGGCGAGCTGTTATCTTCCCACCAAAGGTGGTCCCTATTTTTCTACTTGCATTTTTATGTGCTTTCGAAGTGCTAGGTTGGCAGAAGCTGGGACAAGTAATGGGTGCTCACTCTGTTACACGGTGCTAGGGATTCGAACCGCCGAACTGCCGACCTTTCTGATCGACAAGCTTAGCAGCCATTGAGCCACTTAGCCACTGCGTCCTCTCAGATAAATAGATAGACAGATATAGGCAGATAGATGGATAGACAGATGATAGATAAATAGGTGGATGGAATGGTGGGTGGGTGGATGGTTGGATAGAAATAGACAGATAGATGGATGGATGGATAGGTGGGTGGGTGGGTGGGTGGATAGAAATAGACGGATGGATGGGTGGATGGGTGGATAGAAATAGACGGATGGATGGATGGGTGGGTGAATGGGTGGATGGGTGGATAGAAATAGACAGATAGATGGATGGGGAGGTGAGTGGGTGGATGGGTGGATAGAAATAGACGGATGGGTGGGTGGATAGTAATAGCAAGATAGATGGGTGGGTGGATGGGTGGATAGAAATAGACGGATGGATGGATGGATAGGTGGGTGGGTGGATAGAAATAGACGGATGGATGGGTGGATGGGTGGATAGAAATAGACGGATGGGTGGATAGAAATAGACAGATAGATGGATGGATGGATGGAGATAGACAGACAGTCAGAAACAAACAGACAGAAAAAGATAGACAGTTAGACGTAAACAGATAGAAGTAGTTCTTGATCACATGACCTGGGACAGTACAACTCATAAATACATAACAGTTGCCAAGCATCTGAATTTTGATCATGTGACCACGAGGATGCTGCGACAGTTGTAAATTGAAACCAGGTGATAAGTCACTTTTTTTAGTGCCATTATAACTTGACTAATGGAACGTTTGTAAGCCAAGGGCCCTCTGTAGTATATTCCACCTCGTAGTGTGTAGATTCCGAAATAAATGCTAGGTGTCCTCCCCCCCACAATCTTTTTTTCCCTAGAAGACACCCTTATATCTTGGAGCAATCAGACGTCGTACATGAGCATTTGCTTACGGGACCAGGATTATCGCTTGGACTGCCCAGTAGACCAGCTGTCTATGGAAGAGCTTAAAAAGAAGGTATTTGGCTTCCCTCTTCTATATCCATCTCTACCAGAAAGCTCATTAACATCACTGTTCTGACCCCCCTCCATCCAGTGATTAACGCCGACACTGGCTTACTGTTAGCCACGCTTTATTCACAGCAATTACAATCCTGTTGGCTGAAAGCCCAAACACAACTCACAGGCAAGACATTGGCCAGACTCTCACAGACAAGAGATACAATACGAACAAGAGCTTCTCCAGCTTGTTATGAACGGTTGTGTCCTGCAAAAGGACTCCTCCCAAAGTCTCTTCTTATATACTCTCTTGGGAGGAGCCAAGCCACAACCACCTGAGCTTGATTATCTCTTATGAGTCTGTCTCCGTAACTGCTGCCTCTGTTTCTCCACCCTTCGTTGCCTGGTGTCAGGGATAAACTTCCTTTGATCTTCCCCACTGCTCCATGCCTCAGGCACCTCCTGGTGGCCAACCAGCCTCTCTGGTCCCTGCTCTGAGTCTGAAACCTGCCTAGCGTCCTCCACATCTTCCATAGCTGACTCATAGGGTTCCTCGCTATCAGAGTCCATCGGCAGTTCCAATGGCTCCTGCCGGGCCACAACACATCACTATGTCTTACTTTTGGAGTAGCCATTTCTGGGGCCGCATTATGAGTGCGGGTCTATGACAATTTGCCACAGCCAACTTACCAGGGCCAACTCTCCATAGTCAACTTGCTATGCCCAACTTGCCATGTTCGACTCGCTGTGGGGCAACTCACCAGGGTGAACTCGCCACAGCCAACTTGCTTTCGGCCAACTTGCCACGTCCGACTCGCTTGAGATAACTCACCATGGCCAACTCAACTACAGCCAACTTGCTATGGCCAACTGGCCACGTCCAACTCGCAGTGAGACAACTCACCATGGCCAACTTGCTGCAGGCAATTCATCACAGGACAAGAGTTACCAAGAAATAGCAGAACGAAATCATTAAAGGAAGGGTGTAAAAAAAAAAAAGAGACAGAATGAAATGTAAATGACAAAAATTAAAATGATTTTTTAATTTTATTTTGAATAATTAAACTGAATTGTTAAATTGTCCTGTGACGAATTGTCCCACGGTGAGTGAGTTGGCCATGATGAGTTGCCCTAGGCCATGTTGAGTTGGTCGTGGCAAGTTGGCCATGATGAGTTGGCCGTTTCAGTTGGCCATGGTGAGTTGGCCATAGTGAGTTGGCTGTAGTGGGTTGACTATGGTGAGTTGGCCATGATGAGTTGACCCTGGCAAGTTGACCATGATGAGTTGACCATGGTGAGTTGGCCATGATGAGTTGACCATGACAAGTTGGCCATGGCGAGTTGGCCCTGGCAAGTTGTCCCATTCCTGTGGGTGTTGCTTTATGCCTACAAGGAAATCACAAAGAATCCAGATGTGGGAGATATCTAGAGTGGCAAATCTTAAATCACCTTCAGGAACCAACCACCCAGTTCTGCAAGACTTGAGAGGGATCACAAGGAGCATCAGATTCTAAATTCTAGAAGAGCCCAAACACGGAGTCTATCTCATCTTTGCTTTGGATGGGAATTAAGTGTCCCAACTTCTTAGACTCTGCACGAAAGGAGTAATCTACCTAATTGGTAACTAGCTTGTTAACCCACCATTTGTAGGTAGGTACCTCAGGTAGCCCTTTTCCAACATTTTTTTAAACTGCGGGCAAAATGCTAAAAAAAAGTTCCGACGATCAGCTGTGACAATCAGCATTGCTTTTTTGTGTGTGTGTGAAGTCCATCCGCTTTTGTGTGAGTCAGTGGTGCAGCTCTTACGTCATTTTTGTATAAAGTGTGACCGTTGGTTTTTGAGCTCTCTGTGACTCTGAGTTCCCTGCTTGTTGCCCACCCGGTCACATGACCACCAAGCCATGCCCATCCAGTCACGTGACCACCAGGACACGCCCACAGAACCGGTAGGGGGAAAATAATTGAATTTCACCCCTGGCTTTTTGGCCATGGACCTTCCATTCAAACGTAAACGTAAGGAACTTTTTTGGAAGGATGTAAGAGTTCCCACGGTCTTCCACAGCTTCTCTTCATTGGTTTCAGTTTGTCGAGGTCCTTGGAGTGGTGAAGGAAATGCACTGGGTCATCCAAGAACTGAAAAAGAAGCCGTTTGATTTCTCCACGTCAGATCCTTCGGGAAACGAGAAGCAGAAATCTTTAGACACAAGCGAGGTGAGATTTGGGTCGCCCCCCCCCCCACACATTTTATTTGTTCTATTTATATTATTTTCTATTTCCATCAAACCATGTGATCTGGGTACAGTTATTTGAACACTCATAATCCACGTATTTGTTGTTGTTATTCATAACAATAATATTAATAATATCTCTATATAATAGTATAACAAGAATATGGACTGTGCCGAAATGGACAAACTAACAAAAGAAATCCAGGGAGAAGAAGAAACAGAATATTACCAGATATGGGATAAATAGTATATGTGGATAGAGGAAAGAAACAAGGATCAATGATGGAAGTCAATAAAGCCCAAAAATAGTAGTTAAGAAGAATTAACACACACACATACACACACACACACACACACACATGTGTTGCATTTGTGCTGATAAATAAATAAAGGGAGACTAGTATAGATCTATTTCAAGCTATTTAGCTCTCATCAGCTAGCCATACCCTTATGGCTAGCTGATGAGAA